TTGCTTGATGAACGGTTTTTGTGAGTTCCAAAGTTAAGACTATTCATCATAGCTAATGGTGAGATTTATAGATACTCATACGGCGATTAGACGTTTGGGAATCAAAGTCATTATGATAATGACGTCATAATAAGTTGAAGCGGTTGAGAAATTGTTCAGAAGGTCGAAATTTGAGGAGATTGCAAAAAATATGCATTTCTGGTTTCAAAATGAATATTTCTTGGGGGCAATTTGTTGGCTGAAAATTTCGACTAGGTCAAAATTGAGTTGAGTCAATGGTACTGAATATGCTTGGAGAGTTGTTTGGTTATTTTATTTTTTGGAACCCATGAAGATTCGAATTTGAAATTGATAGTTTATGAAATTCGAATTGTGAAATAAGGTATCATTTAAAATTCGAATTCGAATTAAGGTATTATTCGAGATAAGGTTCAAAACGTTACACTTCGAACATTATCAGGTTTTGGCGCTCAAGACGGATAACCGAAGGGTTTTTGAATTCGAATGTTTATTCTTATTCAGAAAGACGCGTGGAATCTTTAGGATCACCGAAGACATGCCACCAGGAAATGTGGCATTAGTTCATTAGGAGACCGTTAGGATCGAAATTCTATAAATTGTAGCTTTTGTGTTTCAATTTAGTGTGTTCACATCTTTGTACAAAATACTCAAATATACTCAAAGTACCAGTGTTAGAGAAATGAGTTAGCGAGAATGTACGTATGATGCACCATATTTTACAATTCAATGTCATTTACATTCAATGAAGTCTCTTCATGTTATTTGTGTTCTTTATAATTTCCAGTCTAGACTAGTTTCTGTTTTATTACTTTCATAAAGAAGTTCCACTTCAACATACGAAGTGTTTCCTTTCGTTTAAAAGAGATTATCACAAAAAAATTCTAAATACTAGAACACAATAGTCCTGAGATCAATCTGATCGATCTCGCGAGTAATTGAATCAGTTAGAGTATTTAGAGGATCAATGGTTGTTTACCAAATTCCAGGGTAAACACCAACTCCACTAAAACACAATTTTTACGCTCCACAACACCATTTTGTTGTGGAGTTCTAGGAGCTGAAAAATTATGTTCAATTCTAAATTTATCACAATATTCTTCAAAGAGGTGGTTTTCAAATTTACCTCCATGATCACTTCGAATGACAACAATTTTTTAATTTAATTTTTTTTAGCTAACTTGGTAAAACGTGTGAAAGCTGCGAACATTTCATCTTTGCTACGTAAGAAAATAGTCCAGCAAAACCTTGAGTAATCATCTACAATTACAAATCCATAGTAATTACCACCTATGCTTTTGGTTTGTGAGGGACCAACTAAATCCATGTGAAGGAGCTAAAGTGGTCTCAATGTTGAAACAACATTTTTAGATTTAAAAGAAACCCTTGTTTTCTTACCCTTTTAACATGCATCACATAGGTGATCTTTTGAAAACTTCATTTTTGATAGACCAATTACTAAATCTTTTACAACTATTTTATTAAGTAGATCAAAGTTAACATGATCCAAACATCTATGTCATAGCCAAGAGTCTTCACTCAAGGTAACAAGACATTGGGCATTATTCAATGAAATTTCTCTTAAGTCATGCATATAGATATTACTAACCCTCACACCCTTAAACATACAAGCGTTCTTTTCATTATGTTCCATTATGCAACAATCTTTGGCAAAAGTCACCTTATACCCATTGTCACACAATTGACTAATACTAAGAAGACTTTGTATAAGGCCTTAAACTATATCATTGGAGATACTAATAGTTGAGAGATTACCTATACTACCTTTTTCGAGTATTGCACATTTGTTGTGATCACCGTAGGATATAAAACCTTTCTTTTTCGCCACAAAGTCGGAGAAAAGAGATATGTCTCATGTCATGTGTCTTGAACATCCATTATCGAGAATCTGTTTTCCCGTCATAGCACCAAGACACTCAACCTACAAAAGATCAAACAAAAGTGGTAGGTACTCAATTCTCATTGGATCCTTGAGAGTGAGTTAATTAATTATTGTATTTGGACAACCATTGGAAATTTCCTTTAGGGACCAAAAAACACTTAAATTTACATTTTCAATAGCATGACCTTTTTTGAAATAATAGTGACAAAATAACCTATGATGAGAATCACTTTTGCTATTAGACTTCTTCTTAATTAAGTTATAGTTTTTACGAGGTTTTTCAACCTTTGAACATCTAATAACAATAGTATCAATGGGATGATATATTTTATCCAATTTGATTTCAAGAGTACTCACATTTTATTGCCAAATTTGACATGTTTCACATCTAAATTTACAAGATTGTTCATCCTCATTTACATGATTTGAACTGTCTACAATAAATTTCTTTAATGCCTCAAGTTATTCATTGGTTTCTTTAACATTGGCCTCCAAACATGTAAAAATCGTTTTCTTAGGAGGTCAACTTCTTGTGACATATAAAGCTTCTTTTTGTAGATTTTCAAATTCATTTTTCAACTCATGAAAAGACAAATTTGCAACATTAGAGTATTTAGAATGACTTACATCTTTTTCTTGTTTTGACGATGATTTGTCATAAACAAAAATTTATCTCTTCATCGTTCTCACTTGAGCTTTCATTACTTGAAACATCATTATCGATATCCCAAAAAACATAGGCTTGTCTAGAATTTCTAGAGTTGTTTCGTTGATCCTTTCCTTTCTTATTTGCAAGAGATGGACAATCTGATCTATAATGACCCAACTTTCTACCCTTTATCTTATCCTTTTTGTTGTCTTCTAAATTTGACAAGATTATTGTCGCAGTGTTTGACATCATTCTTTCGAATGTGTCAATTATATTTTCTTACAAATAATCTCATTTGCTCATCATCTGAATTCTTTTCATTGCTCGAGTCACTATCATTTATGGCTCATCCCTTGAAGATCTTGAACTTGAAGCCCTTAGAGCTTTAGACTTCAATCCTTCCTCCTTGTGGATGTCTTTCTCTTTCTTCTTTTTATCAAGCTTCTTATCATGTTTTTTCAAACAATTGAGTTCTTACTCGTGTTCTTCTAACTTTCCAAACAAAGCGGTGAGATCAAGTGTTGCAAGCTTGTTGGCTTTCTTGATTGCGATGACCTTTGATTGTCAATTCCTAGTAAGACATCTGAAAATTTTGTTAGTAGCAATAGTATTGGAAATAGGATTGCCTAACAAATTTAAACGATTAATAAGATGTGAAAACCACTTTTGTATTTGAGCAATAGTTTCACCTTGCTTCATGCGAAAGAGTTCAAACTCTTGATTAAGTGTATTAATCATAATTTGTTTGACTTCATTTGTTCCCTCATAGATAACTTGTAGAGCATCACACATAGCTTTAGCGGTTTGACAATGAAAAATACGATAGAACTCATCGACACCGAGAGCGGATACGATAATTTTCTTCGCTTTCCAATCATATGACCACTTTTTAGTATCATCCTCATTTCATAAGTTTTCCGACTTTGGTATAGTAACATTATTAACCACATATATCACCGTTGTTGGACTATTTTGAATGGCTTCCCACACACCTTTGTCATGAGTTAACATTAATTTGCATACAAGCATTCCAATAACTATAATTTTCTCCCGTAAAATTGAGGCTCTTTTGTAATCCCCTTTAAGTTCGTAAACTATTTTCTAACGATCTTTTGTAATCCCCTTTAAGTTCGTAAGCTATTTTCTAACGAGTGTCGAAGCCGAAATAAAATGGACTATTGATGCCACTGACACCCATCTACTGCTCGTGATTGAGGGCAACCTCCCCCTGAGTGCTCTCTACTCGGCCAGACGTGAGAAATGTGAGCAAAAAGTATTCCGATTAGAGAGAATTCAAGGTTAATAGGTTATCCATGTCTCCCTAGGAAGTGGGGAATCATCAGTCCACCGCTGACTAAATGGATGGTTATCATTCCCAAGAAAAACCTAACTCTAAGCCTATAAACCTCTATAAATATATTATCCCTAACATGAGAAAAGTCAAATGATAACAAACACGATATACCCCGTAAAAGCTACAGAGTTTCTCACATCACATGAGTTTGATCTCTCATTACAGTAAACACCATCGAACAATGCCTCACGCCACCGTGAGCAAACTCTAACTCACTTGAAAATTACTAAATCCTCTAACCACCTTTACCAGCATAAGAGTGTCATGTATTGTGAACTTTTTGACAAGTATAGTGGCATCCACCATGGAGTTCCGAGAAAACTAATCTGACTTACACTTTCATCATCACCATTTTCGCCACCTTCCCTTAAAAATAGCCAACAAAGCTCACGGAAGGTTTCCCAACGGAGGAAGCTCAACCGGGTCTCAAAAATAGTGAATTACCACTGGCACTTTAGATTCCTGAAAATAATACGCAACATTTGCTATTTATACATGTATGTGTGGGGGTCCTAATTTCAAAGTGACGGAACCTACGTTTCACTCAAAGGAAGAAGAAAAAAGTCAGTGAATTTTGCCAGCACTAGTCATTGAGTGATACACATTCTAGTACATCCTGAGAGTATATTCAATACGTCAGAATGAGCACAAGCAAACATGAAGATAGAAGAATACAAACAGTGCCACAACGTGCTAATATGCTACGTTATCACCTTTCTCCCTTTGATTAAATTATACTCCTTGTGTTTAAAAAAAAAAAACAAATTTACAAACTACAAAAGATTCACTGACATGTAAAACTACCTAGTTTAATAGTAGTAAACTTGCCTAGCTAGATTAGTTGCTGTAGTCTAGAACTATTTTTCACTCAATAACATGTTCCAAGTAACTTGTCCAAATTCCTTATGGTTGCATGAAAGTCTAACAGAAAGTGGGACTCTAAGTTACGACCCGAAACCACACAAATAGAATATGTTGTTCCATCTGCATTTCCTACATGGGAACGTCTGATTTCGCGTCAAAAACTTCAACTGCAATAAAAAAGAGATCTTCTGGTAGCCAAATCTTCGGCAACGTTACTTAGCTCTCCTTCTTTTCTTTTCCTTCATTTCCTTCAGTGGAGTCGCAGGTTCTAGTTTTTTAGGTCCACCAAAACCTTTCTTGATGTGTAAGGATTTCAATGAAGATGGGGAATCCTCTTTACTACTCTTACTAGGCTTCTTGTCTCCACGTGAAATCCCAGAGGCAGGGTTGCTCCCACCACCAGGGTGACCGCTTTCAACTTTCACAGAAGGATCGCGATCAAGTAATTTCATAGAGTTAGATACATCAACATTAATGACACTCCTACTGAAAAACTTGACATTCACCTTCAGTTTTTGTGTGACAACGTCTCTCATTAGTAGAGCAGATTTATATTGCCGAGTGTTCTTGGAGTAAAAGATCAAAGCATTGTTGGTTAGTAGAAGCATGTCTCTGAAAAGCTCCATCATTGTATTAATGGTTTTGTTGCTAATTCTTGACCTTATAGCATCAAAGTCCATGTGTCTTCGAATTAACTGCCTGTACCTGGCTCGCTTCTGCCATGGAAAAAATTGTGCATAACAAATCATATCATTTGTCATTCCTTGCAGCAAAACTCTACTTACCATTGATAAATATTCATTAAAGGTGAAATGCAAATGCTAAGAAACTATCATCAAAAGCATTTTTGTTGTGAAAAATCTCCAAAACCAACAATAAAAGAATAAGATATGATCTCTTTAACATGTACCTGACTATCATGCTTGCGACAGAAGGCAGAAGCACCTTTAATTTCCAAAACAGAATCTAAAATCTCCGTCATATCTTTCACTTCATCCTTTTTCAAGTTTGCATTATCCTCGGTTATACCAGAAGATTTGACAACCTCGCCACAGTTGCTGGTAGAACTTTCTTTAAACCGGGACATATCAATTGAAAAGTCACTCTCTCTTACACTCACTTCATTAATATTTTTACCACAATCCTTTCTCTTTCTTTTTCCTCTCCGTTTTTTACAACACCCTCCCTGTCCTTCATACACAGTATGTGTCGACTTATCTACAATCAAAATTTTCTCATGTTCAATAGATCCCGAAACTTCAGGGCTAATATCCATGTCTTCAGAAGACATTGCTGGAACCTGGGATTCATGAGACCAGTTTGTCTCGGTTTGATGTGTGAAACTCCCTGCAGACAGTCCATCCTTTGACACTTCTTTAGTGGAAGATTTGACTCTCTCTATTTTTTGTGAAGGAACGTGTAATTCTGGTCCAACTGTGTCGTTGTCAACACGACAATCATCTCTTTTCTCATTCTTGTCAGCCTTGAGAGATTCAAGCATCGATTCAAGAGACCTGAAACAATGATATAGGGTAAACTATACCCGAAACGATGGCAATCCAATAGCGGAGCATAGAAGTCTTCTTACAACTAATTACTAACATTGGTCGTTCAAAAAAGAAAAAAGCATCTGGTGTGTGCAAACTAAAGATTTGGTGGACGATTCATTCGATACAAAACCAGAAGAAATTGAGAGTACTTGTATCTCAGCTTAAATAGGAAGATAGTTATGCAACTAACCCAATTGAATCTTCGGATTGTTCCAAAGCTTTCTTAAGCTCTGCTACCCTTCTCTTCTTAAGCTCCTCAAACCAAGCCCTAAGAGTGCCATCATATCATATAATACAATGAGATACTTACTATACAAGTGCTATGCTGTCTTAGGAGGGTATCTCATAAAACCTAAACTAAAAATGTGCTGCCAAATCGGGAAAATTTAAACAAAATAAAATGAGAAGAAACAATTCTAATTACGTGCACCCTGAATAGCGCTGTTGCAAGTCTTCGTATTTGGCTTTACAGACCTGCAAAAATGATAATTCGCTATCAAAATTAAATTCATCAGTTGAAAAAGCACACATATCCATCCCTAAATTAGGAACAGAGTAAACCCAATAAGAAGGCTTTGGGTCCATGAAACATCAACTGAGTAAAGCTTTAGTCTGAAATAAAGAAGGATAAGAGTTGCCACTCGGCCAATTCATCGATGTAAGTAACAAGATGTCACAAATTCTGGCTTGCGGTGCCTTTCATTCATTCCTTCTCCACTATAAACAATATGTGCATTAGTAATTATAAAAATTTACAACTCATAACTACAAATATTGTATTGCTTAATTTTGCTAACCTAAATGAAGGAAACTAAATATATACAATTAAAGGTCTGACCAACATGTAATAGTAACAATTAATCCCTGATTAACATCTCCCCTCAAATAGATGTGGCTAGTCAAGTAGCATCAATTTGCTAACAAGAAACTAATGGCGCAGAAGAGAAACAGTCTTGGTAAGAATATCCGCAACCTACAATTGAATGACATGATTATCATGGGCCTCCCTAATAGATTGACAATCCACTTCAATATGTTTCGTGCGATCATGTAAAACAAGATTTGCAACAATTCGAGTAGCACTTGTATTGCCGGCACAAAGAGACGTTAGCTCTGTTTGATGAAATCCAAGTTCAATCAAAAAGACCACAAAGCTAAATTATCTCATAACAAGCAGACATGACATGATATTCCGATTCAATAAATTTGAGACTCTTTCTTGCTTCTTACTCTTCCATGAGATCAATGAAAAACCAAGAAAGGTGCGGTGCACCAACTGGTGCCAGATCCTCGAGTGTCAGGACACTCGGCCCAATCAGCATCAGTCTAGGCAATGAATTTAGGAACCATGCCAATAGGAAAGAATATACCCTGTTAAGAGGTACCTTTCAAGTAGCGAATGATACGACAAACCGATGCTAAGTAAAGATGACTAGGAGAGTGCATGAACTGTCTAGACTGTAAATGGAAAATGATATGTCAAGTCATGTAATTGTCAAGTAAATAAGACTACCAACGAGTTGCCGATAAAGTATCGGTCAGAAGGTCACCCTCGTCACGATGTCCACATTAACTTAAAGCTAAATAATTTGGAAGAGTCTTAAAAAGACAGAAAAAAGGAGAATCAAGGTCAAGAACCGTAAGTGGGAGGCGGTTGATCAAGAAAACAAATGTGGACAACGCTTCAACCCAGGATATAGATGGAGAAAATGATTGAAGAAGCAATCTGCAGGTCACATCAAGTAAGTGACAATTCTTTCGCTTTGCAGTGCCATTTTGTTGGGGTGTGTTGAAGCAAAGTGCAGGTCACATCAAGTAAGTGACAACTCTTTCGCTTTGCAGTGCCATTTTGTTGGGGTGTGTTTGGACATGAACATATAGATACAATTGACTTTTTGTTGCAAATATTCTTGAACTCGTGAGACACGTACTCACCACCAGAATCAAAGTGGAGGATGTTAATTCGAACCTAAAACTAATTTTCAACATAAGCTAAAAATTTCGTAAACATTGAAAAGACTTCAGCTCAGCCTTAGATTTAAGAAAATATATCTAAGAATAACGACTATAATCATCAATTAAAGTCACAATAATTATAATGAGATCAGAAGCAATAAGAGACATACCCCAAACATCACTATGAACCATATTAAAACATTTGGAAGCACGATGAGCATTAGAAGAAAAAGGAAGTTTTTAGTTTTAGCAAGTTTGCAAACCGAACAAGGAACATATGAATTAGAAATGGCAATTTATTTCCCAACAAAACCAGTCTTAAATAAATGAAACAAAACACTAGAATTTGGCTGGCCCAATTTTCGATGTCCATATTCATACATAATCAAAACGCCATTGCAAGCAAAAGAGAAATGATAAGAAATAAACTTAGGAGAAAATAGTATGTCCACTTTAAGCCCTTTCGCGGCCACCTTCTCTGACACTTGATCCTACACAAGACAACTAGCCCGAGAAAAAATATTTTCCACTAATTGACCAATAGACAATAAGTTGGAAACAAGTGAAGCGATGCAATCACATTCCAAAAATCCGAGTTTACGTCACCAGCATGAGTGATAGAGACCGCAATTTAAAATTTTTGAGTACCATGGTAAGAATGTATATGGTGCAACTATTCAAAAGAACACGGCGAATGATTGATGCACTAAGTCAAGAAGCTATGGATGAGATACATTAGATGATTTACCCTGAATGCCCAAGGCTGAAAGTACCATTAGATGAATCAGTTCAGGCCGTAGAGCGCCACCATCAGATGCATCATTTTGAGTGGAAAAGTCGAATGCCTGCACCAGCCACTGTTTCGGTCGCAGGGGACAGTCATAAATGATACAACCTTGTTTTTTGCAATAATGACAAAACTTCTTACTGCAACTACAAACATGTCCAAATTGTTTGCGAAAAAAACATCGAACCTACCGTATATTACGACCTTTACTTACCACTACTTTGGACAACATAAGCAACCGTCATAAGTTTTGGAAGGGCAACATCATTAAACATGGTTCCTTGGATAAGCAGGCGTTGTTCCTCCCTTAGAAGTTCCCAAACACCAGTATTCAAATATGAGACAGAGTTCCTGTTCAGCAAAGCACCTCTTATAGTCTCAAACTTTGGGCGAAGTTTCAAGAGAAATTGATCCCACTCATTGGTGTTATAGATAGACTTCTTGGAAAACCGTGAGTGAAGTCTTAGGAACTTCATTGTGTAAAATGGCAGAGTGCTCGGTACAAATTTAGAAAATCAAAATAATACTCTTGAGTAGATAGATTGCCTTGTTTGTAATCGACTATCTCTGCCAAATGTAAATGTTTGGGCTTATTATCTTGGTTGTAAGTACGCTTCAAATAGTTCTACATTTTTGAGCAGTTGAATAAAAGCGCAAAATATTGATCACATGGGAAATAACTTCTTACTGCAAGTAGAAGCGAGACCAGGAAAACAAGCACGGACATGAACAGAGGGAATCTGAAGATCTACAAACGCAGCAGGCGCAAGGTTGCGATAGCAAAACAGAATTGCTAACATAAATGGGTCACATGTAGGATGAGAACTCACACGCACCAAGAGAAACAAAATCGCAAAGATCACAAGTAAAGAAACTAAGATCAAGACCAAAAAACTGATGTCATGTCCAAAAACCAGACCAAAACACACAGGTACCGAAAATAGGCTAATACCATGTCACAAATTCCGGCTAGATATATCTTTCTTTCATTCCTTCTCAACTATAAATAATTACATGAGTAATTATACACATTTACAACTCATGGTTACAATATTACACTACCTAATTTTGCTAACCACGTGCTTACAGTTACAACAGAGGTTTGACCGTTATATTAAACACCTGTATCAGTTATAATCACCCAACAAATTGAACAAAATGGCACATAATATAATATATATACCACCTCAAATTGAATAAAGTAACGCACCAAAACAATTGGCACCACGTGAATGCTACCCATACCCAATTTATAACCAAAACACGTTCTCTAAATAGAACTCTTTTTGTTCCATACATCATACATTGCTTTAACTATTATATATTCAATTCAAGACATATGCAACATGCATGCACTTCATTATTTATTATTTTTAGGTCACATTCTTGGGTTCCAGTCAGACTGTGGGTCTATAGTCTAAAACATTATGTACATACCATACATTTTTACTCAATTCAACATCGACACCTCTAAAAAAAATCGTGTTGTGTCTGTGTTGGTGTCGGACACTTTTAATTACGCGTGTCAGTGTCAGATTTATTTAGGGTTGTCCTGCTTCATCATTTTTAACTTTTTTTTTATATTTAAATTAATATAAAATTATAATGTAATAGTTATAAATAGCAGTTATTAAAATAATCATAGGGTAACTAAGAAATGGAATGAGTTCAATGAGCTGCCAATCAAGACCATTTAATAATGTAACCGTTTAAAAAATTGAACCAATATTAAATTAATTTTAATTTGACTTTACAAGATAATAGAAAAAAATAGAAAAATATTTTTTTTTTTAAAAGTAGAATATTTAATTGATATTTATTTACCTCTGGTGTGATAGCGTATGGAGAAAGAGAAAGTGTACGGGCTCGGAGCTCAGCGGCAACCACCGTCCAATCTCGAGTACCGTGGCGGAGAACGGCTCCACCAAGGAGGAGCTCCTCCCAAGTGTCCCAGTTTGTTACAATCACTTCCGCTCCCATCTTGTTACACGTGTACGGTCCGGATTAAAAGAAATACAACAGTTTTGTTTTGAAAGTTCCTTATCCTACGCACCCGGGGTTAGGTTATCGTTAAAAAAATACACCGCCTTTGGCCTCTCCGATTGACCTAAAAAGTTTAGAGATGGGAAAATTCAGGGGAAATGTGATTTCTTCATTTGTGTAATAAAAAAAAGTGATTTTGATTTTAATTTTGCGTGGTTTTGTGGTTGCGTAAGAGGGTGTAGGGGTTGAAAGAATCCATTTGAGGGAAGGGAGAGGAAAAGGTTTGAATTGAAATAAAGAAATGACAAGGGACAAAAATATCGACTACGATGATGGAGAATATTGTAATATACGAGTACAATTGTGTATTTGCATTTTCGTACGTATTTGTGAAATGCCCATTTTGGTCTTCGGTGCTTTTAGCCTTATAGATTCTTTGTCTTAAAGATTTGCGCGCTTTTAACCAATGGAAAATATGCGGGTTTAGATCTGTTGGATTTTGATGCATTTAATGCTGTATAGAAATCTAACGGATCTGAGTAAAGTCATGTGTTTTTTTTCTTACTTTTTAATTAAATGACTAAAAATGATTATTTTAATTATGGAATGTGAATCGGAATTGAAGAAATATCTATAAGTCTCTTTTTTAACTAATCGCTTTAAAATTGTTTTGGATTAAAGGTATTTTTTATCCTCTAGTTTGAAGTTTTTAAAGTAGTTCTTTTGTTAAAAAAAAATTGAATTTTTGTCATTTTATTTAATATGTTTTGATATTTACTTGATTTCTGATGTGTCATGTATCGTAATGAGGTGACATTATTACTGTATATTTTATAAATTAATCTAATAATTTAATTAAAATTATGATATTAATTGAAAATAATATTATTTTAATTATCAAAATTAAAATCGTTTTAACTTTTTTATAAAAAACCATAATCTCATTCCATTTGCCCTTGTACCTTAATCTTCGTTTTCACTCACCTTCACCCTCAAGTTCAGAAGTTATCTTTGCAAACTGAAACGTGATCCAATAAAGATGACGATGGATAATGTAGAGTATTATGAGATATGTTTTTTGTCTCCTTTGCTATTACTAGTGGTCCTCTTTTGTGTTTGGTGTGTTTTTTTGTTTGTGGTCCCGACTGATGAGTATTGTTTATGCATTGATGCGGTCTCGTGTGTTTGTTTGTGTTGCTTGCGTTAATTTGAATTTGTTTTTGTTGAATATTTACCAGGCCTGCTAAGACTACTAAAGTTAGGTTGAGGATACACCATAGGGAAAAAACTAGTTCATCAACCTGTTAAGTGGTATGTCAATGGACAAGTTACTGAAATGGAATGGGCTTAGGATGTAGAATACATGTCATACATGGAAATTGAAGGTATGATTAAGAGTGAGGGTTATGCAAATATTAAGTGCATGTGGTATTGGAACCCTGCATATAGTTTCGCCTGTGGTCTTACACCATTGAACAACGATTCAGATGTTCTGCAATTCTCAAAAGATGTGGTAGGTTACAATCAGAGGTCATATGCATTTATATCAGACCAACAAAAGGTACTCTTGATTTGTTTACATTATGTATTTTACACTAACAAATTTTTTTACATTATGCATTTTACACTAACAGTTGTTATGTTGTTACATGGACTTGTTCCAGCTGTTTAGGGCATTAGTGCCAATGTAGAGTGCAGGTTGAGTGTTAAGCATTTGTATGATAACTGAAAAAAGAGACACTTTGGGTTGGCATTCAAGAAAGTACATTGGGAAGCTGCTAGAGCAACAACAATACCTGCATGGGAAAAGGCAATGCTGGAAATGAAAAAAAATGAAAGAGAAAGCTTGAAAGATATGGTGAATATACCTGCTAGTCATTGGAGTAGATCACACTTCAGAACTTATTCAAAGTGTAATTTACAGTTCAACAACATGTGTGAGGCATTCAATAAGGCAGTTTTGGATGCAACAGAGAAGCACATTACATCACAAAAAGGATTGCAAGTCAGAAGGAGATGATTCAGGACTACACAGGGGCAATATGTCCTAAAATCCAGTTGGTAATTGAGAAACATAAGAAGGAAGCACAAGGGTGGAGTCCTACATGGCATGGTGACGATGACATGTCCATATTTGGTGTGACAAATGGCAATGACACTTATTGTGTTGATCTTAAGAAGGAAACTTGCTCATGTAGGGTGTACGAATTGACTGGCATACCTTGCATCTATGTAATTGCATGCATTTGGAACATCAAGAAAAAGCTTGAGGATTATGTTGTTGGATGTTATAGGTTTGACTGTTAACTACATTTTATAGTGTGTCAACTGCATTTTATGGTGTGTTAATTATTGATTGTTATTGTGTGTAACAGGAAATCAACTTTTATAGAGACATACTCCCACATTATGTATCCAACTAATGGACCACAATTGTGATATGTGGATGACCTGAATAAAATGGAACCACCAGTTATGAGAAGAGCAATAAGAAGGCCAAAAAACAAAGGGAAAAAACAAATGATGAACCTAGGAATCCACACATACTGCCAAGGAGGTTTTCCACTGTCACTTTTGCAAAATGTGGTGCTATAGGACATTAACAAGAGAAGCTATAAAGGTAAAAGGGTTGCATATAGGGCAATTTCAAAGGGTGGGAATAAGGCTAAGAAGGTGGATAAGAAGGAGCTAAGAAGGTGGCTAAGTCTAAGAAAGTTACCTATGAGAAGCAAGTAAAAATTGGTCAAAGTTCACAAGCTCCTCAGCCCACTCAAGAGTAGTGTACTTTAGATCTAAGTATATTTTGACTCAAATTATTATGTCTTGAGTGTTCTTTTGGTTGTACCAAGTATATGAAAACAAGTCTTATTTTGGTTGTACTCTATTAATGACTTATGATATTATGGTATTATGAAAACAAGTGTGTGAAATATATTTGTCACATTACATGTCAAAAACAATTCCTGTATTAATCTGGTTGTACTCTATTAATGTGTTATGATACTATGGTATGAATACTGGTGTTATTATATTGGTTACAATATTATGTTACAAGGCACATTACTGACAAAATGAAATCAAGTTACAGATACACACATTGTGTCAAATAGGAGTCAAATTATAAGGCACATTACTGTCAAATAGAGATCAAATTACAAGTTCATAACTGGATGAACCATTACATTATACCATTAACTTTGAATTATTACACCATGACAACATAAAACCAACACATCATTACACAATAAAAGACCTAACTATTACACCACGATAACATAAAACCAACACACCATTACACAAAATAAAACCTACTGAAATATATCATATTTCATCAATGTTGTTCCAATAAATGCAAACAACATGACAAAAAACAAAATCCAATTAATCTTCAATTACTTCTTCGTGATCTTAACCTTCATCTTCAATTCGTCCTCCTTTACTTTGTAGGTGTTGACCATATCCTTCTCCTCACTCAAGTTATTTAATAGTGCAAATATTAACTCTTTTGCCATATGATTCATTTCCTTGTCCAGCCAAGCAAAATGTGTGTATTTTTGTATCCTTGTATTTGTTCAGACCAACGAAGATAAATATGAATGAATACCCAGACCAATTACAAGGCAAGAATAACAAAATAATTCATACCTTATACATGCCATATCCATAGAAATGGCGACCTGAGTTTGCATCCATCCATGTCATCATCAATGGAGCATCGAGACCACACTTGCAGACATACCACGAACGACTTGAAGATATGCTGTCATGGCTGAAGTCAGACTGTACGACATTTGAGGATGTCAGATTCGTGAGGAAGATGGTGAACAGTGGCTTCGATTGAGAGGAAGACGATGAACAAGATTATTCGTTTCTCTCTAATACTTATATTAATTTTAATTCAATTAAAATAATGTTGTTTTCAATTAATAACATGATTTTAATTAAACTATTGGATTAATTCATAAAATATACAGTAATGGTGACATGGATTGAGTGTTATAATGCCACCTCATTAAAATATATGGCACGTCATCTAAAATGGATGGGGGATCAAGTAGATGCCAAAACATGCAACATAAAGGGACAAGATTCGCTGATTTTTTAATAGGGGGACTACTTTTTTAAAAACTCTAAATTAGGGGACCAAAAGTGCATTTAAGCCAATTATTTTATATGGTCGATTTAATCTTTAAATATATTTTTCTTTAATAAGTTCAAATCATAAAATGTTTAAGGAAAAAGCTAATGCGTGCCCCAATGACACAAGTTAATAAGTTATTTGTAAAAATATTTTCTTGAAACGCATGCATTCAACGTTTTAAAATTTTAAATATGACTTTGTCATATTTAATTACATTTAAAATTTTCTAATTATAATATCCTTAACATGTGTTCTTAGGGCATATGTTAGTATGACCCAATATTTAATTAAAAAGTTGTGTTACAAATGTGTTTGTATTTAGTAACTAGTGGGATACCTGTGCATTTGCACGAGTACAGGTATGATACGCGCATTTGTTCCTAAAATATAATAATAATAAAATAAAATTAAAAAAAAGTTGGTGCTTATTATTCTTTCAATATATAAAAATATTTTAATGAATAACATATTTTTATATATAAATATTATATTTGTTTTGGAATTGTTGTAATAAATATTTAAACCAATAGTAAAGTTGTTCTATTAATATTTAATATTTTGATCAGTAATTTAATGATTCCGTTAATATTCAATAATTGGTCAATAACTTCATGTTCTCGTTAATGTTCAATATTTTTATCAGTAACTTAATATTTTCGTTAATATTCAATATTTTGATCAGTAACTTCATGTTTCCGTTAATATTCAATATTTTGATCAGTAACTTCATGTTTCCGTTAATATTCAATATTTTGATCAATAACTTCATCTTCTTGTGAATATTCAATATTTTGATCAGTAACTTCATGTTCCCGTTAATATTCAATGTTTTGATCAATAACTTCATGTTTCCGTTAATATTCAATATTTTGATCAACAACTTTATATTTCAGTTAATATTCAATATTTTGATCAGTAACTTCATGTTCCCGTTAATATTAAATATTTTGATCAGTAACTTCATGTTCTCATTAATATTCAACATTTTTAATCAGTAACTCCATGTTCTTGTTAATATTCAATATTTTGATCACTAACTTCATGGTCTCGTTAATATTTAATATTTTGATCACTAACTTCAGGTTCCCGTTAATATTCAATATTTTGATCACTAACTTCAGGTTCCCGTTAATATTTAATATTTTGATCAGTAACTTCAGGTTCCCATTTATATTCAATATTTTGATCAGTAACTTCAGGTTTCCATTAATATCCAATATTTTGTTCAGTAACTTCATATTCCTGTTAATATTGAATATTTTAATCAGTAACTTCATGTTCCCGTTAATATTTAATATTTTGATCAGTAAATCCATATTCCCGTTAAAGTTAAATTATTGAAATGATGTTTGAATCTCTATGTTTAA